CCACATTCTTCGATATAATTCTGGAAATTTACCTATGCCATGATTCTCTGGTTTCAATTCAGTTAAATGAATCCAGTTGAAGAAGGATGTGTGTGGGCCTGCTGAGGCTCTAAGGCTGACGTGGTATAAGCCACAGTCTGGTCCTTAGCTATAGCACTTGCCAACTGGCAGGGCTCCAGACTGCACAACACAAGGCACAGTTGGTGCCTCCCTAAAGAGGTAAAGCAAATACTAGCCAATGTAGATTTCTTGCACATTAAAATAAATTCTTATTTATTTCTTCAACCCTGTAAACTTTAAGATTCTTTAAATTGAGGGCTTTAGCATTCTTGTCTAGTCTGATTCTGGATACTCATAGTGCCATGCATATCCATCTATTTTGGAATATTAAATAATAATTATGCACTTGCATTTAATACTTGAAGCCCAGTAGGGAAGCTTTTTTTCCCCCTGAGAAGGTTAGCCAACTTAGGAGCCTCAGGCAATTACAATCTGAAACTTCCTTACAGAGCTGGAGCTTGGCCTTCTTGATTCACTTGCGTCAAGGGAGTCTTGCTTCTCACTCTTGTGCTGAGAGTGGCCAGAAAGGAATGAGTCAGACTACATTTCCCTTCATTTTCTGAAACACTAATAAGCCAAACTCCTCATTGTCACAGACTGGTGGAGTCTATGAGCTAAAAAAATCACAAATGCGTGTAATGGTGTGACCGCCGAGCGCTAGTCCTGCTGTCAGTGGGAAGCACAGCCAGGTTAGCTCCAGTGGGTGGGAGCCTAGGTGGGACCGCTGAGGCCAGGGGTAAGCACGACATCCCTGTGACTCTCGCTGGGATACGTCTGATCTTGCTTTTGCCCTGATTCCTCTAACATCTTTAATCATAATCTTAATAACTGTCAAGTAAACATTACCTTAACAATCACTGAAAGGCACCATCTTTGCCAAAGGTGCCCAGGAGAGCAGCTTTTCCCTTGGCCCAGCCAGTGCTGCTGCTGCTGCTGCTGCTGCTGCTGCTGCTGTTTGTCCCCTCAAACCCATTCTTCCTCCCTTCCCCCTCCTTCCTCTTCCTATCCTCCTCTTCCTTTTCTTTTTCTTCCTCCTCCTCTCTTCCTCCTCTTCCTTTTTTTTCTAATTTAAATATAATTCATATACCATAAAATTTGCATCTTTTCAAAGTGTACAATTTAGTGGTTTTTAGTATGTTCACAAAGTTGTGCAATCATTACCACTACCTAATTCCAGAACATTTTTGTCACCTACAAAAGAAACCCCATATCTATTAGCAATCCCATTTCCCCTTCCTCCAGTTCCTGGCAACCACAGATCTATTTTCTGTCTCTATAGATTTGCCCATTTTGGACATTTTATATAAATGCCATGATATAGTATATAGTCTTTGGGGTTTGTCTTAACATAATGTTTTAAAGGTTTATCCATGTTGTAGCATGAATCAATACTTCATTCTTTTCTATGGCTGAATAATAGTCCGCTGAATGGATGTACCATTTTTCCTTTATCCATTCAGCAGTTCATAGAACTTTGGCTTGTTTCTTCTCCTCTGTTGTGACTAATGCTGCTATGAATATTTATGTTCAACTTTTTGTGTGGATATATGTTTTCAGTTCCCCTGGTATATACCTGGGTGTGAAATTGCTTGGCCACATGGTAACTCTACGTTTAACTTTTTGAGTAATTGCCAAAGAGTCTTCCTAAGTATCTATACCATTTTACCTTCCCACCAGTGATAAGAAAATTCCAATAGCTCTACATTCTCACCAATACTTATTAGTCTTTGTTTCTTTTATTTTAGCCATCCTAGTGAGTGTAAAGTGGTATCTTATTGTGGTTTCAATTTGCATTTCTCTAATCTATAGTGATGCTGAGCATCTTTTCATGTATTTACTGGTCCTTTGTATATTTTCTTTGCAGAAATGTCTGTTCAAATCGTTTGCCCATTTTTAACTTGGGTTATTTGTCTTTTATTATTGAGTTGTAAGAGTTCTTAATATAATCTATATACTAGATCCTTATCAGATATATGGTTGGCAAATCATTTCTTCCATCCTATACGTTGTCTTTTCACTTTCTTGATAATGTCCTTTTGAAGCACAGAAGTTTTAAATTTTGATGAAGTTCAATTAATTTATTTCTTCTTTCGTTGCTTATGTTTTTTGTGTCATATCTAAGATATCATTTCTACTCCAGAGTCACAAATATTTATATCTATATTTTCTTCTAGGAATTTTATAGCCATAGTTCTTAAAATTAGGTCTTTGATCTATTTTGAGTTAGTTTTTGTATATGGTGTAAGACAAAGATCCAACTTAATTCTTTTGCATATGTATATCTAGTTTTCCCAGAATCATTTGTCGAAAAGACTATTGTTTTTCCATTGAGTGGTCTTGGCACCCTTGTCAAAAATCAATTAATGATAAATATAAGAGTTTATTTCTGGACTCTCAATTCTATTCTATTGGTTTATATGTCTATTTCTTTGTTGATCTTCTGTCTAGTTATTCTACCCATTATTAAAATTGGATATTGAAGTCTCTATTATTGTTAAAGTGTCTATTTCTTCTTTCAATTTTGTCAGTTTTTGCTTCATGTACATTGGGGCTCTGTTGTTAGATGCATCTATGTTTATTTTGCCTTCATTTATTCTTTTTCTAATGCCCTTCCTTTCTTTATATAGTTCTGACTTTTGAACCTGTATAATTTTCCCTGCTTTCTGAAGAATTCTTTTTAACATTTATTGCAAGCAGGTCTGCTGGCAACAAATTCCTTCATTTTTTTTTTTTTTGTTCCGAGAAAGTGTTCATTTCTCCTTAATTTTTGAAGGATAATTTTGCTGGATTCAGAATTCTAGGTTGGTGGGGTTTTTTTCTTTCAACACTTTAAATAAATATGTTACTCCACTTTAATCATGCTTGTATAGTTTCTGAAGATAAGCATTATGCACTATACTTTCTTGTTTCTTGCATGTCTCATACATTTTTGTTGAAAACTGGACATTTTAAAGAATGTAATGTGGCAATTATGGAAATCATATTCTCAACCCTTTCCATGTTTTTGTTGTTGTTGCTGTTCGTTGTTATTCATTTGATTAGTGACTTTTATAAACTAACTTTGTAAAGTCTGTATTCTTTGTTATGTATGGCCATTGAAGTATCTGATTGGTTGCCTTCATGGTCAGCTCATGGTTGGGTAGAAATTTCCTTAAACGCCTGGAAACAATAAGTCTTCCAATTTTTGCCAAGGGTCTATTTCTGTTGAAGCATTCCCTCAACACTCATCCAGCCAGTTAATAACTCTGTCTTAGCCTTTACTTTCTTCTTGTGCAGAGCCTCAAGGTCAGCCAGAGTTGAAAGTTTAAGGCCATCTCAGGTCTTTCTTGAGCACACACATAGTCCTAGGAATTCTCACAGCTCTATGCACGTGAGTGGCCTTCTAGAGTCCCAGGAATATGTGGGAGCTTTACCACGCCCCTGCGGACATTTCACTCACCAGATTTTCTCTTTAAGCTTTTTAGTTAGCCTATTATTTGCCCCATTATCCACCCATTTGGGCAGCCTTGATTTTAAACCACAATTGCCTCAACTTTTGTTTCTAACAAATGCCTCTTCATGATAAGCTATTCTCACTGGATAAGCTCTAAATCAGTTCTAATGAAGACATTCTGTGAATGGGGGCTTTCAGGGAAGCCCCAGGTCAAATGATAATAATTTTCTGGAAGTGGAGCTTTGAAGGAGCTCCAGCTCTGTTCTGCCCCCTCCAGTGACTATCAGGCTGTGTTTTCATTGTGATCGAAGGCTGTATCAGAGATGGTGGGGAGGGAGGGGAGCAGGGAAGAGGAGGCAGGGAGTAGGGCATGTTAAAATGCCACAAAGTGTGCTCTTCATATGGAGATTAACTTTTTTTTGTTTTTTTGAGACAGAGTCTCACTCTGTTCCCTGGGTTAGAGTGCTGTGGCTCAGGTGATCCTCCTGCCTCAGCCTCCCAAGTAGCTGGGACCTGGGACTACAGGCATGCACCACCATGCCCAACTAATTTTTTCTATTTTTTAGTAGAGACGGGGTCTTGCTCTTGCTCAGGCTGGTCTCAAACTCCTGAGCTCAAACGATCTGCCCACCTCGACCTCCCAGAATGCTACGATTATAGGTGTGAGCCACCATGCCTGACCAAGATGAACATTTTTTATTAATAAATGCTCCCTAGATTGCTGCAAGCCCTTGGTTAATTTCCAGAGTAATGAAAAATTGCCGGTGTTACCACCCCCCCTCCCCCCGCCTCTGACTGCAGGTTGAATTTATAGTGAGGCACTTCAAGAGATCTCAGAGAATCCAAACTTTCTTCCTCTTACTGCCTACCAAAGAAATGAATCAGTGGTAGTCAGGCTGTAGGTGGAGTTTCCTATTCAAATACCTCTCTATTTTGCCATTATTGAAGTTTATTGGTTCTGCTAAAAACAAGGGGAACAGGCCAGGCTCACGCCTGTAATCCTAGCGCTCTGGGAGGCCGAGGCGGGAGGATTGCTCAAGGTCAGGAGTTCGAGACCAGCCTGAGCAAGAGTGAGACCCCCGACTCCACTATAAATAGAAAGAAATTAATTGGCCAACTAATATATATAGAAAAAATTAGCCGGGCATGGTGGCGCATGCCTGTAGTCCCAGCTACTCAGGAGGCTGAGGCAGTAGGATTGCTTGAGCCCAGGAGTTTAAGGTTGCTGTGAGCTAGGCTGATGCCATGGCACTCACTCTATCACTCTAGCCTGGGCAACAAAGCGAGACTCTGTCTCAAAAAGAAAAAAAAAAATAACAAGGGGAACAAAATCATGATTTTGTGTCCACACCTTAAGAATAGTCTTTGAAACATCAGCAAACAGATCATGACTAGCATGATTTTTACACTCTCCAGCTGTCCTTTCAAAGAAGGAATAGATAGGAAATTGGCCACATTTGTAATGTATGCTTTAAGATAATGTAATCTGTTTTCTTTTATATAACAGGGATTTAAAGTACAAAATGGCGATTATACCAGATTGGCTTACTTCGTATCCTCAAACACGAAAATTTACATATTCAAGACCCCATTCTTCACCATGTAGATTACATTCAAAGAATGGTTTCCAAAATATCTTCAGACCTTCTTCATCTTCAAGTGAGTATTCATGAGCAAATAATAACATTAACACTAGATACCACTCATGTATGTTTAATATGTACTAGGCTTGGTTCAGAGGCTTCTTGTGACATTTAATCCTCACAATAATTCTATGACTTAGGTTTAGTTTTTACCTCTGTTTTCTATATGGAAAAACTGAGACATGGATTGATTAAGCCATTTTCCCAAAAGTTATGTAGTTATTTATTTATTTATTTTTGGAGACAGAGTCTTGCTGTGTCACGTGGGCTAGAGTGCTGTGGTGTTAGCCTAGCTCACAGCAACCTCAAATTCTTGGGCTCAAGTGATTCTCCTGCCTCAGGCTCCCAAGCAGCTGGGATTACAGGTACACACTACCATACCTGGCTAATTTGTCAATTTTTAGTAGACATGGGGCCTTGTTCTTGCTCAGGCTGGTCTCAAACTCCTGAACTGAAGCATTTCTCACTCCTCAGCCTCCTAGAGTGCTAGGATTACAGGTGTGAGCCACTGTGCCTGGCCAAGTTACATAGTTTTTAAGTGGAAGGATCAGGATTTGAACCCAGGCAGTGTGATTCTAGAATTTATGGTCTTAACTACCATGTTAGAGAGCAACAGTCCCCAACCTTTTTGGTACCAGGGACCAGTTTCATGGAAGACAATTTTTCCATTGACTGGGGGTGAGAGCAGGGGTGGGGTGCTGTGATTTGAGGGTGGCTTGTGGAGCTCAGGCAGTGATGCACAGCCTGTTTCCTAACAGGCCACAGACTGGTACCAGGCCATGGCCTGGGGATAACGACTGCAGTTATAGATTATACTGACTGACTCAGTTTTAGAAATGAAATCAGTAGACTTTATTTTTTGAGCAGTTTTAGGTTTATACAAACATTGAGCAGAAAGTACAGAAAGTTTCCATATACCCCCTCCCTCCCACCACTAGTTTTCCCTGTTATAACATATTAGTGTTAACTTGTTAAAATTGATAAACCAATATTGATACATTATTATTACCCAAAGTCTATAGTTTACATTAGGGTTTACTCCTGGTGCATATTCTGCGTTTAGAAAAATGTATAAAATGCATTTTATACATTTTATAAAATGCATGCATCACCATTATAGTGTATAGAGTAGTTTCACTGCCCTAAAAATTCACCATGCTCTACGTACTCATCTTTCCCTTCCTCCTACCCCTGGCAACCACTGATCTTTTTATTGTCTCTATAGATTTGTCTTTTCCAGGTGGAATCATACAGTAGGTAGCCTTTTTAGATTGGCTTCTCTCATTTAACAACATATATTTAAGGTTACCTCATGTCTCTTCATGAATCAATAGTTCATTTCTTTATAGTGCTGAATACTATTCCATTGTCTGGATGTGCCAGTTTATTTATTAATTCACCTGCTAGATCTTGGTTACCTCAAGTTTTGGCAGTTTTGAATAAAGCTTCTATAAACATCTTCTTGTGGGTTTTTGTATGGACATAAATTTTCAACTTTTTTTTGGTGAATAACAAGGAGCACAATTGATAGATATTATGGTGACAGTATGTTTAGTTTTGTAAGACTGTGCCTTTGTTGTATCTCAAAAGTGATTGCTAAACCCAAGGTTGGTTGTCTAGATTTTCTTCTAGGTTATCTTCTATGAGTTTTACATTTTGAGTTTTGAGTTTTACATTTATATCTGTGATCCATTTGTTTTTCTTTCTGTGGGTCAGAAAGACTGTGTTACATTTTGAGCTAATTTTTGTGAAGGGTATAAGTTCTGTGTGTAGATTAATTTTTTAATGCATGGATGTCTAGTTGTTCTAGCACCGTACTATACATTCCCACAAATGGTACTTACAAGTGCTCATTTCTAAGTATTCTAGCACAGAATATTATCTTTTAAGATCTTGTCCATTTGATATGTGAAAATAACAGTCCATTGTAAATTTAATGTGCACTTCTTCAATAGTAAGGTTGGCCAGGTGCCATGGCTCATGCTTGTCATCCCAGCACTTTGGGAGACTGAGGCAAGAGGATTCCTTAAGCCTAGGAGTTTGAGACCATCCTGAGCTGGTCTCAGGTTTCAGGTCTCATAGGAAGTCTCTGTCTCTACAAACAATTAAAAACTTAGCCAGGCATGCTGACTGATGCCTATAGTCCCAGCTACACAGGAGGCTGAGAGACGGGAGGATAGCTTGAGCCCAGGAATGTGAGGTTACAGTGAGTTTTGATTGTATCATTGCTCTCTAGCCTGGGCAACAGAGTGAGACTTTGTCTCATAAAAACAAACAAACAAACAAACAAAAAAGTAAAGTTAACTTTTATTCTCAGTTCATTAGGTTTATGCCTTTTCTTGGTGAGTTGCCTGTTCATATCTGTTGCCCATTTACCTACTTTGGGTTGGTCTTTTTTAGTGATTAAATATATTAATCCTTTATTTGCCTTAAGTGCCACAGATATTTTTCTTCTTTTTTATTTGCTTTTTATTTCTATTGATGGTAGTTTTTCAATGCACTGAAGTATTTTTTACTTTTTAAAAATTAAGTATATATGCTTCCCAGTACCACTTTCCTCCAAAGAGTACATCACCAACAGTTTGGGTGGTTTCTTCATGAATACTCATATATTGGTAGATATATACTTGTATAACTCATATATTAAATAAGCAAATTAACAGCAGACATCCTGTTTCCTTTTTAAATATTTTTATCTTTGTGTTTCAATTTGAATAATTTCTATTGACCTGACTTCATATTCACTAGTTCTTTTTCTTATCATGTACAATCTGCTACTAAGCAAAACATATGAATTCTTCGCTTCTATTTTTCTTATTTATTCTTTTTTTTGTATATGTTCATGGGGTACAAGTGCAACTTTGCTCCATTGATATGTTGAACTGTGGTGAAGTCAGGGCCTCCAGTGCATCCATCACTGAAGCAACACACATCATACCCACCAAGCAACCTCCCATCATCTTACCCACCTTCGCTTCTGATATTATATTTTTAATTTCTAGCTTTTCCATATGCTCTTTAAAAATATTTTCATTTACCCACTGAAATCCTTCATATGTTCAGCATGTTCCCAACTTTTTCCTTTAATCTTTAACATATTTCTCATTCTAGTTTAAATACTTGATGATTTCAATATTTGCTCTCTCTTTTTCTGATGACTGTTTCTAATGTCTTTTTCTGATGACTATTTTTACTCTTGATTAGGTTACCTTTTCTTCACTTGTTTTGCAATTTTTAAAAAATTTAATGCTATATATTTGTGTAAATAATTTTACCCTCAGAAAAGGAATGCCCCTTTCAGGCTTTTAGTGAGGTAGGCTGACTCAATTTAATCTTTAAGGTGAGCTGTGTCTTGACTTTGTTGCAATTTTATTTGTATTTAGGTTACCCCAGTTTCATATGCTTGCCATCAATAAGTCTTGAGATCTGAGCACTGGTGAGACTCCAGAGATCTCTTTGCTTTGCAGCCCACCTGCCATTTTGGGGGCTTCTTTGGGAGTTCTCTTGATTCTCTAGCTCTGCCCTTGGCTTTATGAACCTCAGGAGACCTCTGTCTGCCTTGGGTCCTCCCTCCAACCTGCAGTAGGCTACTGATGTTCATATACTTCAGAGGGTTCGCCTCAGTTCTTCTTCCCTGTACTCAGCCTTTGATAAATAGCTAGACTTGTATAAAACCCCACATACCTTGGGGTGCATCACACAGCTCTTCTGCCACCTCTAGTCTTTGGTGTGCTGCTTATGTGCACCTGGGGAAGGCCCAATAGGAAGGGTCCAGACTTGCTCTGTGAGCGAGACTTCTGGGATTCTAATCCATCTGCTAGTCTACATGTGGCTACTAAATATTGGGTTGTTTTCGTCTTACCCTTATCCTGACCATACTGAATTTGCTTTTTCTAACTGCTCTGGAGGGATCAAGGAGTTATGGGTCTTTTCTCTCTGAGGAGTGGCTTGTCCTTTCTAGAATTCAGTGTCTTTGCATCCTTAAATCTCTGATGGCTTTAAAAACTGTATATATATTTTAAGCTTATCCTGCATGTTCTCATTGTTAGGGTGACAGTGACAGTCTGTTGTGACTTTCTATATTCTAAACGGATGTGGAAAATTTTGTCAAATTGGCCTCCAGAAAGATTATATCCATTTGTACTCCCACCGCAGGGTGTGTGAGTTTGGTTACTGCTTTCACTTTCAATCTCAGAAGTTGCTGTAGGCACATGAAATAAAGTTTTTGTTCAAATAATTTAAAATAGTTTTAAATCAATTATTTTCTGATTCTTTTATATGACTACTATTGATTGCAAAGATGGGGCTTCTTGGAAAGCAACTAAAAAAAATATATATATATATATGAAAAGTCTGAAAAATGATTTTAAGAGGGGGGCATACATTAACAAGAGGGAGCCCCTGATGACATGGGGGCAGGAGGCTGGTTTTCAGGCTGGTGGGCAGAGGGAGACATAGTGCTCACCAGCTGATGTTGAATCGTGCAGCTCCTCTGTATGGATCGGCTGCTTCAGAGAGTCTAAGTGGCAGTCAGAAATGGAAGAGGAGCCTGGAGAGCCTCCTGCATTTCTGAGCATCCTTGTCACTCTGGTGGGAGGCCCAAGTTCCTTCTTTTCCTTTAAGGCTCTATGCTCAGTCCTCTTCTCCCTGGTCTTCCCTCTCTGTAGGCAAGTCACCTGGCTCCATGTCCCGAGATAACATCTATAACCAAAATGATAGCTCCCCTCTGACTTACTCCCTAAGCTACCAATCATATATCCAGTTGCCTCGGTGACCTTTCTGCTCGCACCTCCTCCAACGGGCATCTCAGACGTGAACTGGCCAGACAGACCTCTTGACTCCCCAGTGTTCTCCAACTCAGTCAAAGGCACTGTCATTTATCTAGTTCCTCAAGTCTAGCACCAAGGAATTATCCTTGATTTTTCTTTTCCCTTTTACACCCACCCTACCCAATCCATCAGCAAGATTGTGTCAGTCACAGAACTGACAGATCTTGTCTCCCATCTGTCTACTTTCCCACATTCAGGGCTACCACCTGGCTCAAGCCACAGTCATCTCTTCTTGGAATGGCCTCCTCTCTGGTCTTCCGTCCTCATTTTGTGCCCCTATAATCTACTCTCTACATGGCCGCCAGAGTGACAGGCACTGTGTTAGCTAACATCACTTCCCTGCTTAAGCTCTCCTGAGCCTTCCTAGGGTGCTTTGAAGCAAAGGCCAGCGCTTTCCATGGGTGTCGGAAGCGCACGTGAGCTGGCCCTCCCCTGCCGGGCCTGACTGTTAAACTGTTCTCTATCTCGCTTGCTATGTGCCACACTCTGTCACTCTGGCCTGTTTGCTTTCCAGGACATATCAAGCTCATCCTTGCTTAGGGGCTCTTTACTGGTTGCTATGGTTTCCCTGTTGAGGACATTCTTACTTCAGCGTCATAACTAGCTGGCTCATTTTTATCATTCTTGTTTCAGCTCATAAAACTTCTTGGAGAGGACTGTCCTGACCACCCCTCTGAAATAGCTCCCCTGACCACAAGATACCTCATTGTTCTGTCTTTCCATCTTCGCTGCGATTGTCACTCTGTACCATGCCTTATAATTTATTTATTATTGGTTTATTGTCTGTCTTCTCACATCCAGATTGTAAGTTGTACCTGTCTTATTCACTGTAGTACCCTCAGGGCTGAGAGCAATGGTTGAAATATGATAGGTGCTCAGTCAATATTTTTTGAATGAGTGAATTCCACTTCCTTAAAAGCCAGCATTTTGCAGGCTGCCTTCTTCTCTTCCCACTGGGCACACTTCCCCATGGCTCCATGCTCTTGGTTCCCACACTGGCATCTCTACCACCAGCTCTCAGATCTCTAGATTGTGTATTCAGTTTTCAAGTGGACATCCTGCTCAGACATCCCAAACTGAACTCATTAGCTTTCCCATAAACATTTTTCTCTTCTGTTCCAGGTATCTATTGCAGCATACAAATAATCCCAAACATAGTGGCTCAAAATAGCAACAATAATTTATTTTGCTCATAGATGTGCAATTTGGGTGGGTGTCATGGACAGCTTTTTTCTGCTGTATGCAGTTTAGCTGGGAAGGTGCAGAGGCTGAGCTGACTTCACGACAGGGACTGGAGTCCTCTACAGAGGACTGGGTTACTCCAATGGCCAGCAGTTGATTCTGGCTGTTAGCTAGAACCTTGGCTGGGGCTGTCACCCAGAGCTCTTATATGTGGCCTCTCTGTGTGGCTTCTTGGCTTCCTAACAGCCAAGTGGTGACTGGGTGTGAGTGTCTAGAGAGGACCGGGCAGAAGCTGCAGCACCTTGCGTGACCTCATGTTGGAGACCACACAGTCAATTTTGGAATCACATATGTCATGTGTCATATCGACATATGTCCAATCTGTGGTAGTCACGGGCCCACCCAGATTCAAGGCAGGGAACAGATGCCTACTTTTGGGGGGCAGGGGCATTGACATGACATTGCGCTGGGAGATCTTGCTGTGGCTGTCTTGGAAAATACCATCTGCTGTGTCTTCTCTTTTCCATTTCTCAGTGAAGAGTGCTGCCACCTGCCCAGCCACCCACTAGATACAGACACTACATCTTCTTTCCATCCCTCACCTGGCCTCAGAAGAGTCTGTAGAATCCACCTTCTTGACCTTTCTTTTATTCACACGTTTTTCACTCTGTGACCAACACATTAGCGAAGACCCCTGTGAATACTTGCCTGAGCAGCTGTAATCACCCGATGTGTCTCCATCCCATCACTCTCCTTTCCTTTCTGCTGCTCGTCCACTGATAGCAGGGGGAGGGGTAAGGATGAAAATTGGGTTCTCTTGGTACAAACCCCACGTGAAGTCCCATAACCAGAGCACAAAGCCTAAGGACAGGACTGTTGCGACTGGGCTCCTGATGTCTTTTCCCATACCATCTCTTGGCCAGTGCCTCCTGTGCTCATCCCTTCCTTCTCTTCCCCGTGTGCGGCTGGCTGAGCTCCACAGCCCTCCCCAAAGCCACCCGACTTCCAGCTCTGCGCCTGGCCCTCAGGAACACTGCGTTGCTTTCCACTGAGCAGCCTTTCCTGAGACTTTCCCTCCTGTCACCCCAGACCAACTAGCCTCTTCCCTGGGTCTCCAGTGCTTCATGCAGATACTGAATGCCTGTCCCCACACCTCACTGCTGTGTCCTGGTTACATACTCACCTCCCTCCAGGAGGCATCCCCACCCCCTGGCACAGGCCTGTGTGTGCTTGGCCCTCAGTGGGTGTCAGTAGAGGCAAGAATTAGTGACGCCAGCACAGCCCCTGGGCAAGAGTGAAGTCCCAGGACCTGCCCCTCTGCTGCTTGTGAGCTTAGGGCCTGTGGCAAATCTCCATAGCATTGCGATGGTGGGGGTGCTGGCACGTTCTCTCTTGTGCCACCTCAAGCAGAAAGCTCAGAGCATCCCACAGCTGTGAAGAAATACCTGACTGCCCTGTGGGTGGGTTCAAGTTGGCACATTGAGGTCCTGTTCTTTGAGTCTCTCATCAGCCCAGGTCACCCCTAGACCAAGGCTATCACTGTCCTCCTGCTAGGAATGTGCAGTAGCTTGGTGAGATATTCTCATTCGTAGGGAAGGAACTACAGTCATCCCAGTCTAGCTACTGTTTGTGAATAATACTATAAAAGGTGAGGCAATGTTAAAGCCATTTAACATATATCCAGAATTTCCTATGTAAGAAAGAGCTGCTAAATAAACTATGGTTGCCCTTGCAATCTCATGAATAAATATGAGAGATTTACCAAACTACCATTATTCTTAGTGTCCTCTTTTCCTAGCCAGTTATGAAACATCAAAGTGATCAATCATGTCATCACGTATATGATCCTGAGTGGTAACATGAGTTGGTTTGTAGTTACCGTGTTTACTTAGGTTATTTCCTACCTGTTGTCCCTACAGTGGTTTTCATCTTGGATAGAGGGGAGGGAGGCCTGTGGTGTATCACCTCTCCTTTGGTGATGGGGTGCCTGGGACCTAAAACATTAGTCAGGACATTATTCCTTTCCTCCTAGGAAATTCAAACCCCAAAAGCCTATTTAGCCCACTCTAAACATTCCTTTATTGCCCTTTAGTGTCTAGACTATTCTCATCTCTTTCTTGTCTTTGAAAAGGACATGATCTGGATTTAAGAATTACATGTTTTTCCCTCAAAAATTGGCAAGAAGATGAAAATTAAATATGATTTTAAGGATTTATTTGAATGATATTCTTAACTAAATTTTCTTCCAGTATCCATGTTTGTCACTGTGGTGACCTGTGTCCTCTATGGGGAAGATTATGTTTGCCTTATTTTTCTTCTCCCTGATGTCATTACTGTTATTCTATATTGAGTAAATTTCAGATTTTTCGTTTCAGGTTATCTAATGATTAGCCATGTAAACTTAGATATAGTAGAAGAAATACTGTTTTAGAAGTTTATTTTATTCTATTAAACAGTGGAACATTTTTTGTTTAGTATCTTAGCTTTAAATGTGTTTAATAAATAGCTCTGTCTCTTTTATAGCCACAGCTGTTGCAAATCCAATACTGTCCTTCTTAGATGTTAAACGGATTTTATTTCAAAAAATTACTGATAAAGGGGATGAGTTGAAAAAAGCCTTTCAACTGCTTGATTGTGGTCAGAACTTGACAGTGTCAAAAAATGAACTGCGAAGAACTATCACAACCTTCCTGATGCCTCTCACGAAAGAACAGTTTCAAGACGTGTTGGCTCAGGTATGGTATGTTGTAAATACTTAGAATAATTCAAGAAAAGCTGAAGCAGATCAGAGGAGCATGTCACCTATTCTGGCTTTATCCCTCACTGTCGCAAAAGAGCAGTAGAAGTTTTGCTTGTGTTTCACAATTCACTTAATTAAGGCCAATTTAAATGATCAGAATCAATGATTATTTGGTTATATTTTGCACATAGTGGTGCTGCAGCCAATTTATTTTAGTTTTTTTTAAGGTTCCACATAAATGTATTTGGTCAAATTACATTTTGGAGCTTAGTATGTTGGCATTTGTTTTTGTATTAAATGGTTATTGAGGATCTACTATATGCTGGACCCAGTGCTAGACACTAGGGGTGCCCTTGAGGAGTACCTGGCCCAGTGAGGTATTTATGGAGTGTTGGCAAGTGCTGGGACAGGGGTGGTTTGAGAGTTAGGAGAGGGATAGGGAGAATTTCTGAAAATGAGGAGTGGTAGTCCAGGAATCCTTTTTGGTGGAGGGGGTATTTACGTAGTTTTAACTGAGGGGTGGGTATTAGCCAGATGAGAGAGGAAGGAAAGGCCATCACTGGCTGAGGGGACAGCCTATGTGAAAGCTTGGGGGCCTGCATGAGCCTGCCATGATTATTCCTGGAACTGGACAAAGTCATTCATATCTACAGTGAAGGGATGTGGCTGGGGGGGGGGGCGGGGTAGGCAATCAGGAAAGTACTTTTGTTCTGGAAGCTCTAGGGAGCCAGTGAAGGGTGTGCAGCAGGGGGTGGTGCAGTTACTTCAGGAGGGATGTATAGGGTGAGGGCCCTTGGGCCACCTAGTGGTGTTCCATACCAGGGGGACATAAAGAGTAAAAGTTTGTGGTCCATGCCCTCAGGGCCCTTAAAAAAGGAATACAAAATGCAGTAGGAATTAAACAATCTCAAAATAAGTCTATAATGATCAATATAGTAATTACAAGAGTGGAAAAGTTCTGCTGGAATATCATTAGTATTCCTTTCAACCGAATAACTGAATTTGTACACACACAAATGCACACGCATTCATGCATACACACACATAGACAAGTTTATGTATTTTACTCATTCATTAGTTCTTAAACAGAATCTGGCTTTGTGCTATTTAATATAATTTAAAAGCCTTTTAAGAATTTGCTATATACCCCAACCAACCTACTGTGTATACTTTCAACACAGGGGAATTATGTGTCTTGAAAAAAAGTATCTCAATGAATTCGAGGCATTCCTAAATTCCAGTCTTAACCTCAGATACTGACTCTCATTTATTTCACTGTTTTTTTTTTTTTTTTAAACACGTATAGTTCTATTTGTTGTTGTTCCTTGTGCATACCATGTTGCTGTTTCAAGGTTTTCTCTTCCTTTTCATTTGTGTCTTTCTTTGAATTTGGCAAATTTTCAGCTTATTATTTCCTCAAATATTTTTTCTGCCCCATGCTCTCCTCTGTTAGACATTTTTATATTGTCCCACTGGCCCCTGAGGCCCTGTTCATTTTTTAAAATCTTTTTTTTAATATTCAAAGTGGATAATATTTATTGATCTACTTTAAAGATCCATAAGTAAGATTTATTGATCTTACTTTAAGTTCATGGACTCTTTCTTATCATCTCCATTCTTCTATTGAGCCCATTCAATGAATTTTTTATTTTAGACATTGTATATGACAGTTCTAGAATTTCCATTTGGTTCCTTTTTATAATTTCTATTTACCTGCTTTGATTTCCTGGTTCTTCCTTCATTTATGAGCATATTTCTTTTAACTCATTGAACGTAATTAAAATAGCTGTTTAAAGTCCTTGCCTAGTAATTCTACCATGTTGGTCATCTCAGAATTGGCCTGTATTGATTGTCATTTTCACTGGTCATATTTCCCTAGTTATTCACATTTGAGTATGTTTGGATAATATCTCAGACCAACAGAAATATCATGTGAACCACATATGTAACATTTTCTAGTAGCCACATTAAAAAGTAAAAAATAGGTGAACTTAATTTTATTTATAAAGAAATATAAATAATATTATTTATAAATAACATTTATTTATATATTTATAAATAATATTTATTTAACCAAATATATCCAAAATATTATCTCATTTCAATATGTAATCTCTGTTAAAATTAATAAGATATTTTATATTCTTTTCTGTATACTAAATCTTCAAGCCTGTTATATATTTTACACTTATAGCAGACTTCAGTTCAGATGATAAATTTTCATTGGAAATACTTGATTTATGTTTATATTTCATAAAATTTGTAGTTGAAATACTATATTACATACTCATATGTTCCAAACATACTTAAAAGTTTTCTAATAGCTGAATCAATATTATTTTTAAAATTTAAATTAATTAAAACTAAATAAAGCAAAAATAATTTCAGTTAATAAGTTGTATTAGCCACATTTCAAGTGCTCAATAGCCACATGAGGCTTTGGCTATTTATTAGATAGTACAGTGTACTAAACATTGTGAATGGTGTATTGTGGGGACTGTGGATTCTGTTAGATTCCTCTGAAGACTGTTGATGCTTTTGTTTTGATAGGCAATTAACTTGCAAACACTGTCTCACCTGCAGTGTGCAGTAGCTCATATTTCAGTTCAGTTCTTTTGTCTTTACCTGGGCCTATTGAGTCTGACTTGCACATGCATATTCAGAAGTCAGCTAGAAGTCAAACAGAGTTTATAGCCAGGAAGTGGGTTTCCTCCTCTGTTTCTCTCCCATGAGAGAATATGTGAGATTCCCCTCATATTTTCTAGTGTCTGTAGTTGCTTTGGGTTTTGTGTGCTAGTCTTTTAGGCTAGAGAGATAGTGGGTTTTATAATGGAGCTCTGTGCTGAGCATGTGGCCTACCCTCAGGATAAAATCCATTACGAATAGGAAACTCCCTCCATTCCTGTCCCTTATTCTAAGTTTTGCTTTCCTCCAAAATGTACCTGCTTTCATTTACTCTCTAGAGCCTTTAAATAGTTATTTCTTGTATTTTGACCAGTTTATGGTTGTTTTCTGCAGGAGGGCTGGCCCATTTTGAGCTTTTTCTGCACAACTTCTCTGCTTTATCATTTTAAAAAGAAATCACAAAGTTACAGAAAAGTTGGAAGTACAGTGCAAAGAACAATTTTTTTCTAAAACATTTGAGAGTAAGTTGCTTTATTACCCCTATTTTAATGCATATTTCCTTTAAATAAGGACCCTGTCCTATAATAACCACAACCCAACCATCAAAATAAAGAAGTTAACATTGACTCATTATTCCCATTTCAGCTCCAGTGTCCAGCCAGGTTTTACCATTTGTCTCACAAATATCTTGTAGGATCCAGGTCAGAATCATGCATTGCATTTGGTCGTCATATCCTTTTAGTCTTCTTCAGTCTAGAATGGTTCGTTAGTCTGTCATTGGCTTTTATGACGTTAACACTTTGAAGGTTGCAGACCTGTTATTTTGTGGTGTTTCCTTAAGACTAGATGGAGGCTTTCATCTTTGGCAGAAACATCACTGCAGCAATGCTGTGTTCTTCTCATAGCATTTGATTAGATGGCACATGATTTCAGCTCATCTCATCACTGCTGAGGTTTACTTTGATCACTTAAGGTGAGATCTGTCAGGCTTTTCCAGTGTATCCACTTGGTAATTAATAAGTATTTTGTGAGAAAAACTTTGAAACTAGTAGATATTCTGCTTACCAAACTTTCAATTTATTCATTTATTATTTATATATTAATATTTATAGGGACTCAAGATTTCCTACTAAGTGGGCTATGGGTCTATTATATTCATTATTTATTTTGATGTTTGAATTATTCTAGATTTGGCCAGTAGAAACTCCTTCAAGCTGGTTTCTCTATCCTTTTGACATGTTCCTATCATTGTTTGAACATTTCTTTGCTTTACTTTCCAGAGCCTTTAAATAGATAGAAGATATTCCAAACTTATCTGTACTTTGCTTGCTTTGGTCCTGGAGTCATCTATTTTCCAAAGACCTCTGGTTCCTGTGAATGGAAGAAGATAACTGAGAAGCCAGAACATGGGCACTAGGGCTGCTGGTGTTAGGTTAGGAGGTCACCGCCCCCAAGGCCCTGTCAGCGAGCAGTGCTCTAGGGGGTACATTTTTTTTTCATACACATGTATATGTACATTTACATCTACATTTATTCTGTCTCAATTTCTCTGTTCATATTAAAAACCAAGAGTTCATACCAATACCACCAATTCCAACTCAAAACTCCAGAGATCATTCTGGTTTCTCCCTTTCCATGGTTGTAACTACCTTCTCATTGAATGAGGAACTTGGCTCCCATTACCCTTAGATTTGCTCATTTGCTCAGTCTCCCCGTAGGTGACCCAACTCACATCCAGCCTTTCTTCTCCCCGTGTGGGTGCCCTCTCCCCCATGTGGACTCGGATCCATGATAATGCCATTTTCACCCCACATCCCAGCACCGAGGCTCCCCCAACACTGCAGACACCACTTTTTTCTGTCCCATCTGATGACTTTAGGACTGAATTGTTAGGGGAGTTGGGAACAGGGAAAGAAGGCAAAAAGCTTTCCTCTTCCCTTTTAAAAAGACGTTTCCCCTTTATTCACTTCTAGAATAAGGAATAAATAGTACATACTGATTTTTTCACATTACCTTTAATTGCTATCTACATTTTTAATAACAGCTTTATTAAAATATAATTTATACATCATACAATTCACCTTTTTAACATATATAAATTGGTGTTTTTTTGTATATTCACAGTTTTGCAATCATCACCACTATCTAATTTGAGACCATTTTCATCTTTCCAAAAAGTTACCTGTATTCATTAGCAGTCACTCCTCATTTCTCCTTCTGCTGGTATCTGGAAACCACTAATCTACTTTCTGTCAGTATAGATTAGTCACTATAGATTCTGGACATTTCATATAAAACGAATTATGCAGTACATGATCTTTTGTGTCTGGCTTCTTTCATTTAGCATGTTTTCAAGGTTCGCCTATGTTGGCATAAATCAGTACTTCATTCCTTTTTATGGTTGAATAATAGTCCATTATATGGATAGACCACATTTGCTTACATTTTCATCAGTTGATGGATCTTTGAATTGTTTTCAGTCTTTGACTTTTGTGACTAATGCTGCTATGAACATTCATGTACAAGTTTTTTGTGTGGACATATGTTTTCAGTTCTCTCGGGTACATACCTGGGAGTGGAATTGCTGTGTCATATGGTAATGTTCTCTCACTGTTAAAGAACATTTGTCCTTGTAAATATTGCATCAGCTTCCTCATAAGCTCAGTCTAGCTGGTGATACTTTATACCAAATGGAGAGTTAAAATATTATTTCCTTCTATGTGTGCTTATAGTCATGATCTAATGTTAATTTAAAATTTTGACAGTCTTCCCAAGCTAATCAGCTATGCAGGAAGAAGAAAAGTACAGAAAATATGAAATGTGTATCTGTTTTTAAAAGCTACATCTGTTTTTAAAAGAAATCACTGAGCACTGCAGAACTTCAAAGACTTTTTAGAAAACAGGTCTTAGTAGTCTATCCTTAAATGATCAGCATGTTTTTCTAGAACCTCGAGGTCCTGTGATGCATGTGTCAATCATGAAGGCTGGAGTGTGGTGAATTTACAGGAGGCTGAGGTCACTGGGAATGAAGGGCAGGGCTTCCTTTCTCCATGCATGGATTTCGTGTCCGTGACTTTTCTAGATCTTAATGACTAATCCATGTGTGGTGATTCAGCGTTTCTTTTTGAGTGGTTAATGTGAGCCTAACTGGACACTTAGTGAAACTGGTAAAAGATTTCATGGGAATTTCCCCTTAAAATTAGAAAACAATTTTTCAGTTATAGTCTTCATTACTTTAGCTTTAATTTTAGCTTTAATTTTATTTGAAGAATTGTACCAGGAAATGTTTGAATGTCAGTGTTTTAATAATTTGTCAGGGAAGGAAGAATGAAGAGGCTTTGCTTGTAATCTGCCCTATATTAGAGTAAGACGAATTTTGTGGTTTATTTAAAAATGTGGCCTCAGTCTTTGCATTTTTGTTTTCAAGAGACAGAGTCTTGTTCTGTCACCCAGCCTGGAATGCAGTGGCATGATCGCAGCTCACTGTAACCTTGAATTCCTGGGCTCAAGTGATCCTCCCGCCTCAGCCTTCTGAGTAGCTGGGACCACAGGAGCGCATTGCCAAACCCAGCTAATTTTCTTACTTTTTGTATAAACAGGGTCTTGGTATGTTGCTCAGGCTGGTCTTAAATCCCTGGCCTGAAGTGGTCCTCCTGTCCCTGCTTCCCAAAGTGCTGGGAGTACAGACATGTACTCCCAGCACCTGGCCAGTCTCTGAATAGTAATATAGACTCTTTTTAAAGAAGTCCACTTGGTAAATAGATTCCAGAGAAGGAAAACAGTTCTGTTCTATTCCCAGTGGTTGTGCCAGGGTAGAGAAAAAGTCTTCTTTCAAGATACTTACCAATGTGATGGATACTGATTTCAAAATGACCCTCTCCCAGCCCTAGTCTAAGAATTGGCTTTCAGCAATTCATCCATGTATGGTTTTGACTCTTAAACATTTTTGCCGGAATCACAAATACCAAAAAGGCACGTACTGAGCAGAGCCTCTCATTTTAGATTAGATTCTTTAGTTGTCTAAGGGGCTTAGCTTTGGAGACCAATCATTGCAAGAATTTCTCTACTACTTAGAACTTGTGTTCGATCATAAATAACAATATGAATTGTGATGAAAGCTTGAATCATTTGATGGACTTTTTTTCTTTATAGGCAGGGTGGTTAGGGTAGTGGGATGAACTTGTGCTCCAGATTCACAGAGATTTCTGGCACTTAATGGCAGCGCTATGCAGGAAGATCAGACCTCTGTTCTGTGAAATGTAGAAAATGGTACCACCTCTGAAGGTGGTTTTGGGACTGCTCATGTAAAACACTGAGAGTAGTTTTGTGATCATTTATTATGAGCTCTGTAGATGTAAATTTCTTTCCTTCATCATTTACTGTTATCATTACCCAAGCCAGGAGGGAACCCAGTCTTGAACTACTTAATGCCCTTCTTCTGCAACATTAGGGAAACTTTGAAGTGTTTACCCAAAATTATATCTACTAAAAAAATGCACTATCAGAAATAGAAGGCCAGGCATGGTGGCTCACGTCTGTAATCCTAGCACTTTGGGAGACTGAGGCAAGAGGATTGCTTGAGTCTAGGAGTTTGAGATTGCAGTGAGCTATGATTGTGCCATTGCACTCTAGCCAGGGCAGCAGAGTAAGACTGTGTCCTCTGCCCCCCCCCCAAAATAAAGAAAAATCATGGGTGTCCTTTCCAGGAAAAGGCTTCTACAGAGGCCCACCCTGTGAGCCCTGAGCTACTCTCCCCTGGTCTTGTTTCCTAGTTATACATATTTTAAATAGTAAAGAGAAATTTATCCTTTGGTGGAAACTGAGAGAACCACGCTTGGCTTTGAGGCTAGCATTTCTATGCTAAGTAAATAACAAACTTGATTGTGTAGACTTGGGAGCTATTCAGCTGTATGGGAAATTGTAGTTTGTATATTTGCATGAAGTCTAATGAAATATTTTATAATGAGTATATATTTATTTTATGTTTATTTAAATTTTAGATTCATAATACTTTTTAAAAATAATTATTTTGATTTTAAAAAGTTTAACTTTTTATTTAAAAATAATTGCAAACCTCCAGAAAATCAGCAAGAATAAGAATAGTACAAATAGCACCCATTTGGTACAAATAACACCCATATACTGTTTTACTCAGATTTATCTGTGGTGAACATTTCACCTTATTTGCTTCTCCTGTGATCTCTCATTATTTGTGTGCATATGTGAGAGTATATGTGTATGTAAACAACATATACAAATGATGTGCATATAATATTTTTTAAAAAAGCACTTGAAAGGAAGTTGCTTATATCATGGTTCTTTACCCCTAAATACATCAGTGTATATTTCCTAAGAATAAGAACTATTCTTTTATATAATCGCAGCATAGTTATCAACTTCAGTAAATTAAACATTGAAATAATACTTTATTTAATCTAGATTCTGTGTTGAGCCACTTGACCTAATAGTGTCATTTATAGAATTTTTAATTTAAAAATGACTTTTTCAACCTGAAAACTATATGAATGTACAGAAAGTACACATGACACGCAAAGAGTAAAACTGTCCTGTGCCTCAGCTTCCAATATATATTATACATATAATATTAATATATATTAGAAAATATTTCTCCTAATTTTATTTTATTTTTAGATTGACTTTAGATTTAGCTAGATTTATATATAGATTATAGATAATTTTGTAGATAACTTGTTGACTTTTATTAATAATTGAGCAGACTGGTGTTGTAGGATGCTATTTACACTTGGTTTGCTGAGAATGCACATCAACTCGGACACCTAGAGTAAGCAGTTGTAAATATTTACTAGAAATGCCCATCACATTAATAGGATTCTACATTATATCCTGGAACCTTTGATTTAGAGACCTACTACACTGTCTATTGCTTGGATCTTGATTCTCTAACATGTTGTCATTTTTCTTGTTGAATGTAGATCCCCCTCACCTGCTCTGGTTCTGTGCCATACCTTGAATTCCTGTCCAGGTTTGGTGGAATTGACCTAAATGTAAATATTATAAAGAAGTAAGTGTTTTGTTTGCTCATATGAAAATGTGAAATTTGACATAATGAATAAAAACTGTGACATAAAACCATTGGAGTGGATCATATCAGCAGATCTATATGGAATATGGGTTGGTAGAGCTTATCCATTTAGAATTTAATGGAATTAATCTTTACATTTTATTTAGAGAATATTTTAGCATGTATATAGGATATACTTCAGAATAAGATAAATGATTCTGTAACACAATATAAACATAGCAAATTAAAGCCAGGTAAAAATGTTTTACATATAATGTATTTAAATTTGGAAATAATGAATTTTAATCTTTAAAATATTAAGATGCCAAATTTAAAATTGATTGGTTTTTATACATTTTTAACATTGCTCATTGGAAAGTGATCATATTTTGGTGGCTGGAAATGAAAAAAAAAGATCTTTGTATGAACTCCTCTAGTATTCTGTAGTTTTAGCATAAACATGGAGCTTGTTTGCTTTATCTGCAACATGAGCAGGTTGGATATGACCTTTAATGTCTCGATCAGCAGTTTGATTCTAGTGTATGATTTAGAAAATACTGTTTTAGTAAAAAAAAGTATTTACTCATTATATGACTAAATGAATAAGCCTCATTTTCTCAGGAGTTGTATAAACAATTACATGTAAGAACTAAATTTGATCCTGCAATATTAACAAATTCTGTTGTTATAGCTTTTGTGATTAAATCTATCACCGATGCAGCTTCGGTATAAGAAGAGTGCAGCAAGGGGACGGGGTGGGAGAAGTTGATGCTTAGTGGGTATAGAGTTTCAATTTTTCATGATAAAAAAGTTCTAGAGATCTTTTGCAGAACAATGTGAATATATTAATACTTAACACTACTGACCTATGCACGTAACAATGATTAATATGGTAAATTTTATGTGTTTGTTTTTTAATCACAATTGAAAAAAAAGAATTAGTGGTGCAGCTCCCCCAAGAATGACAAAGTATTATCCCTTCTGTGATCTGGAATTTTTCTGTGCTCTGTTTAGTAAATGATCATTTCTAGGCTCATTCAAAGAATGACTATTGTTTTAGAGGCTGCATAGTCATGGCCTTGACCTAAAAGACCGTGACTTTTTTGTAGGATAAGGTTGTTGGGTGGACATTAACCTAATATGAATATTCTTTGTTGGAAAATCTAAACAACTGGTAATACTGAAAGCAGGAGAGCCTTTTTCTCTTATTGTAAAACCTCAGTCTAATTAATTTGAGATAAAAAGATCAGCTGAGCATGATGGCTCACACCTGTAATCCTAGCACCTTGGGAGGATGAGGCAGAAGAATTGCTTGAGGCCAGGAGTTTGAGACCAGCCTGGGTACCATAGCAAGAACCCATATTTACAAAAAAAAAAAAAAAAGAAAAAATTAGCCAGATGTGATGGTGCACATCTGTAATACTAGCTACTTGGGAATCTGAGGCAGGAGGATTGTTGGAGTTCAGGATTTTGAGGCTGCAGTGAGCTATGATTACACCACTGCATTCCAGCCTGGGTGACACAGTGGGACCCCATTTCTGAGGAAAAAAATCCTGAGTTACTTTTTTAAACATAAAAGGCTAAATATTTAAACTAAATTTGAAAGATTTCTGACTTACTCCTAAAGCTGAGTTCTCTTTATCATTGGAGACATTGCATTATAGTGAATAGAGACTTCTCTTCCTGGTTATATGGTAGGGTATATATCATGAACAACACACAACATTTCTATGGAAAACAATTAAAATGCTGGATAAAAAGTAAAATATATGCATACATTTTAATACATTGCTGAGCTGGCAGGAAAGTAAGGAAACCTCAGAGGCCTAACATAATGTGAAAATTGGAATTCAATTAAGGGAGCGTTTGATAAAGTCAGGTTTTGCCCTGAGTGTATTAGCCAATCCTGGTGAGTTTGTGTGCTCACTTTTGTTGGCCATTTGGAGTAAAGGAGACAAAAGAGAAGGCCTAGGTTACCTGCACAAGGTGGAAGAACCTAATAGAAGACCATTGCATATCAAGGTGGGACACCTACACCCTCAGGCAAAGGTAAATTACAAATGTAAGCCTGCATCACAGAGGGGCACAACAAGGAAACCTACCTGTTTCAACACTAGTGTTGAGTGAATAGGGGAATACATTCTAATTATAGGTTGATTTTCATGCAGGTCTGCACCTGAATTAATGCTACCTGTGTGGTCTGAAAAGTCTTAGATTAGGAACTTACTTAAAAGCAATCCTGGACTGGGTGTGCCCTTCTGTGGAATAATGTATCTTCAATCTATTCCTTAAAGAATTCCATAGATGAAGTGCCAAGTAACATCAGATCACACCAAAAATTTTAAAAACATATGAAGAGGCAAAAAAATGAGGACTGCAAACCAATATATATAAAACCAAACAGAATTAGATCTCCAAACACTTGAAATATTGGAACTATCAGATATATCATCTAAAAATAGTGTTTTAATATGTTTAAAGAAATGAATAGATAAGTGAAGATTTGAAGAAGTATAAAAGAGAACTGCTGGTATTAAAAATATAATAATTAAATATATATAAAATTCAGTTGATGGGTGAAAATAATTGGATTAAACATAGATGAAAAGAGCATTTGTGGAGTAAAAGATAGAGCTGAAGAAATTATCCAGAATGCAACACAGAAAGAAAAGGAGATATAAAATATAGAGGACAGATATAAGAGACATGGAAAATAGGAAGAGGAGGCCTAATATGCTTCTAATTGGATTTCCAGAAAGACAGCTGTCTTAGTCCATTTTGTGTTGCTATAACAGAATACCTGAGATTGGGTATTATAATTTATAAGAACAGAAATTTATTTCTCACAGTTATTGAAGCTGGGAAGTCTAAGACCGAGGTGTTGGCATCTGTTGAAGACCTATTTACTGTGCTCTCACATGGGGGAAGGGCAAGAGAGGATGGACTCCCTCCTTCAATCCCCTTTCTAAGGGCACCTAATGTTGTTCAAGAGGGAGGAATCCTCATGGCCCAATCACCTCTTAAAGGTCTCTTAATATTATCACATTGGAAACACTGAATTTGGGAGGAGTACATTCAAACCATAGCAATATAGGAGAAAGAATAGGGCAGAAATAATATTTGAAAAGATAATGGCTGAGAATCTTAAGCCAAATAAAAAGAAATGCCTATTTAGACATTTCACAGTGAAACTGCAGAACATCAAAATCAAAGAGAAAATATTAAAGGCAATGAGAAAAAAACTGAATTGACTTCAGAGGAGTGACAATTAGACACTGACTTCTCAACAGTGACAGTGAAAGCTATAAGATAAAGAATATCTTCAATGTGCTGAAATAAAATATTTGCCATCCTAGAACTCTATACTATATTTGTAAGAATAAGAGTAAGCTTTTCTGTGGGAGCCCCTGGGACCCTCTCCTAATCTTGCCATAGTATATGGTCATCTAGTGATATCAGAGTACTTGGAAAAGGTAGAAACATCTAGCACCTTTGCTTCCTGTGTCCAAACCAGATCTTTTTCAACCAGATCTTGTATAATTTCTTCATATCAGTGTATATAAAAACAAGAGGCAGCCAATACAGTCATTGAATTATCAGGTCATTAGACTGGGGCTGAATCTTGGGGCACTGACAGAAGTGTAGCTCAAATTCTCAAAGTATGTGGAGGTGAGACTTAATATTCTGGTCACAGCACTTCCTTTCTGACATTATTTTGGGGAGGTCACATATACCAGCCAAAAACTTAATGTCATCAATGACATAGAGTGAACACAAGAAGTGGTATGCCATCTCTTCTGCCTGGCTACCTTAGCCTTACCAGAACTGGTAATGTATAAAAATCACCATGTTGAGGAGATTCCTGACTATCTAATGGTGGTTGATTAAATTGGAAGCAACATGAAGATTAAAATTGTGTGACCTAGGACACTATTTAAAAAGTCATGCCTCTGAGTGTGTAAGAGTTGGTGTCTTGGTCCGTTTGCATTGCTACAAAGGAAATACCCAAGGCTGAGTAATTTATTTAAAAAAGAGTTTTATTTGGCTCATGGTCCTGCAGGCTGTGCAAGAAGCGTGGAACTAGCATCTGCTTCTGGCCAGGGCCTCAAGCTGCTTCTCCTCATGGCAGAAGGCGATGAGGAGCTGGCGAGATCACAGGGCAGGACAGGGAGGAAGAGACAGAGGGGAGGGAGGTGCCAAGTTCTTTTCAACTATCAGTTCTAGCAGGAACTAATTCAGTGAGAACTCATTCATTCCCACGAGAACCTGAGGAAGGCACCAAGCCATTCATGAGGATTTGGGAGCTGGGTCTGAAGCCAGATCACCTGGGTCTGACCCTGGTGCCCCCAGTTCCTCACATGTCACCTTCATCTTCCTCATCTATAAGGACCTCAGCCTGCTTGTCTGTGAAGTGAGGATGATAAGGTGCTTAACCCATAGAGCTGCTGGGAGGTTTCATGAGACCAGGCCTATTAAGGCTTGGTGCATAGTAAGTGTTCATTAAGTATCAGCTGTAATTACTCAATCCCTATACTACCCTAGGAAGAGTAAATGCTGTTATATTTCATTTTACAGATGAGGAAACTAAGACATGGAGAAACTAAGTAATTTGCCCAAGTTCACATTTCTGTCAGATGATAGCACATAAGAGATACCTTGCATTTTAAAATAGATTATTTAGAAGTCCTTGCAATTTTGACCTCTGCATGTCTTATGTAAACGTTTATTTGGTTAAAACATTTTAACAAAGAATTTTTTTTTTTTTAAGGGGAGGTGGGAATGAAATTAATTGCTGCCGGACATTAAAAGAACTTGAAACCCAAATGGGAGAAAAGGTAATGGAGATTTTTAAAAATGATCCCCCCCCTTTGTCAACAGTCGTTGTTACCAGACATAGATAATACAAAATGAGCCACCTTGTCATCTGTGTGCTCGTGTCAAAGTCATTTGACTAAATAGATCTTCCGATAATAAGCCAGTGTGAAAGCTCATGTTCAGGCTGCTCTGACTGCCTTGGATGGCATCTCTTTTGATAAATGACACCAGCAGAAGTCCTGGAATATTAATTACTTTTGTATTAACTTTAGATCATTATTAGTAGGGCTGCCTTTTCTGTCTTTGTCTAACACTGAGCAGGTTTTCCTTTAGAAAGAGAAAACGACTGCTTTGTAGCAGTAAATGCCAATCAAGAGCAGCATGGTAAAAAAAACCCAGTCAAACTCAAAATGATATATATTTAAGTATTGAGCAATATAGCCACAAAAGCTACCACATGTCTTCAGAAAAAGAGCATATAGCTTTGTTCCGATTTGCTGATTATGGTTAAGGAGGGGAGGAGATGATAATGTCATTCAGGGGTTGGAATTGGACTACTTTTTAAAATGCATTTGAGCCTGTCAGTTACATGAGCAGTTTGAGAATCAGGGTTTAATTTATTTGATTCAATATGTTGGTTTGAAATGTGACAAATTTTCTTTCTTTTTTGAACTCTTCTGAGACTTTCATACATTTCAAAATCAAATATAGCCAGAGATCCACAAAATGTTTGTCTCCATTTCTCTGGCTGATACCATTAACACAAGAAAATTCATCTTAATATGATAATTTTTTAGCATTATGTGTTCCTAAAAACCTGTTTTGCTATAGCTGATATCAGTGAGAACACTAGTATAATTATCTGCTTCTTTTGTTGTGGCCCATTTGTTATTCTGTAAGAAATACGTATTAATAATATGATTGATATTATTTATGATGTCTTTTATTTATCTCTTCATAAACTCGTGTCAATCACAAAACACTCCTGGTACAACTATTATGTACCTATAATAATTAAAAACAAAATAAAATCCTCCTGCAAAAGACCACTGTTTATGACAGTCATTGTAGCAGCATAAATGTTATGGATCAATACTGCAACACTGCCGTCAGTGTAGAGGGTGTGGACACGGGCCAGTACCACGACCTACCAAAATGAGGGCTGTGATAAGCAAATCTCCAAAGAACTCTGACACTACCTAGGCTTTCAATGTGTCCCTTTTTATTCCAGCCTCCTCCCCACAAAAACCCCTTCTACTAAGTGTGAGTTTAAACCAGTGCAGTTTTCAGGACACTTCCTGTGAGGACCCCCAGAGGAAGGCAAAAGGGCGAGGTAATGCCAGATCCCAGGGAAGTGCGGGGTATCCTCTGCCAGGTGTTCTGCAGCCCAAAGTCAACCTATGACCCCGACCCTGGGCAGGCAGGTGGAGTGGACAAGACTGACCTCAGGACCCAGTCAGATATGGGTTTCCATCTTGAGGCTCTGCCATTTGTCAGCCAGGTGGCCCTAGACAAGTCCTAGTCATCAGGTTTCTTCCTCTGTCAGTGAGGATAACACCACCCACCTGCAATCCTGTTGTGAGGCTTAAAAATATCCACTTTAGAAATGCCAGCTGTTATGCTGATTAGTGCAGCGTCCTGTGGAGTATAGGTAGGGACACAAACGAATCTCATATCTTCCTCCCCCCGAAATAAACAGAACAAGGCAAATCTACTCCTCTCTGTCTGCTGTGTGTGGTATCATGCTTTTAGGGAGACTTGATCCTGTTAGTGGCAACACACCAGTTTGAGACTGAGAAGAATACCTGGGTGTTACCACAGGAATACACGCTGCTATACATGTATAGAACTCTGCATACACATGTTGTCATTGCTGGGTGATGGTTTTGGTTTAGGACTGGAAAAATGCTAACTATTTTGTTTTTCATATAAGTCCACATGGCTTATTTGAGTCAAGAATGCATACAGATGTATCTGAATCTTTGGAGCCAGACTTTGCTGGTGCATGTGTGGACTAGCCTTCCTAAACCAGCAAATAATTAGCAGTTGGAGTCCCAAAACTGACTGCTCCCAAACTGCTCACACTTTCTCACTGTTTTCTTCTGCAGTGAGCTTGGTCTGATGGTTGGATTCTCAGCCTCTCTCTTTTTTGTGGGCACTCAGGCCCTCCAACATGTGTCCACGTTTATGCTTATTATCCAGTTGAACCCTTGGGCTCTCTGAGCCTCATTTTCTTCATCAGGCAAGGGATCAGACCAGACTGGATGATCTGCAGGTTCCATCTCTGTCTTTGGTGGTTGTGCTCCATGGCTACATGGGAAGAGGTGCTGTCTGTTCCCAGGGGCCTGGTGTTTGGGGGAGGAGGAAGCTCTGGAAGCCCAGGGCTCGTTCTTGGTGTGCTCTCTTCAGCTCCATCTGGCTGTAGGTCTGGTTGCTCTGCACTCAGGTTCCACTCAGTAATCACTCTGAGTCCTGCCCACACTTCGAGTGCCCTTACTGTCTCAGCCCTTGCTTTTCATTTTGGTCATAAACATGACCCTGTGCTTTCATTGCCTCTTCAGCGCTTTTGACTGGGCATCTCCTGGCCTGGCTCTTCAGTTCTCTGATCTTCAGGTGCTTTGCTCCCAGAGTCTCCCAGGAGGTGGAGGGATTTGTTGAGGGCCTCTCAGAGGCCCTCTTCAGGGAAGATATTGACACCTGCTTTGTATTCAGCACATGTGACAACTTGTTATGCCTGTTGGTGGACCCAGCCCATTGCAGAGAGAAGTCTGTTCACCATTGCTGTGTGAGTAAATGAGTTTTGTTCCAGCCACGGCCATCTTTCCATCCACATAGCATCTGCTTCAAATGGGCATTTGGGAGTTTTCTCCACTCATCTCTGTCTGGTGTCCTGCCTCTCAGAGTCCCTCCCGTCTGCCCGTCTTACAGCAGGGGCTGGTGTCTGAGACCTCAGGCCAGGTGCTGCATATTCTTCGGGTGAGGAATCTGCAAGGAATAAAGGGACTCCAGCAGGGATTCAGTGTGTTGCCAGGCTGACAGAGGTTTGGATTTTCACTCTGTTTTGTCATTTGTCAACTCCACACATGAGCTGAAGGCAGAAGTGGCTAATAAAGGAAGAAAATCCCATCTTGCCACTTAGGTGGGGCGACTGTAAGCTCTGTCCTGGGAATTACTGCCAAATAGGAAGCCACCCTGACCTATATGAGAACACAGCACATGTTCAGAAATGTCATGACTCTTTCTCTCTCCTACCCGCACAAAAACTGTCCTTAACTGAAAACTAGGATTCAAGAGTGTATAATTCAGTTAGAGAAGTAGAAAAAGAAAAACACCATCCAAAGCCCCAGGCTGTTTGCTACCCATGTCACTACCTAAGGCAGAGAGCTCTCAAAAGAAAAAAGGGCCCAAAAGCTTGGGCTCCATGATGTCAGAACATCTGGTCTACCCAGTCGGCTGTGACTAGTGTGTCTGTTGGACACCGAGTGATCCAACACAAGTTTTTATGGAATTACTCTGGTGCCTTGGAGTTGTATAGATGCAGCCTCAGTCATTTCAGTAGCAATTAGTAAATAATTATAGGTACTAAGCTGCTTGCTTGCTCTGTAATATCCTCATGAAGAAGAGGCAAAAGTGATGGGTAGACTCATTTTCTTAAATTAGTGAATTTTCTTTAAAAAGAAATTTAAAAATATTCTGCTCAAGGAATAAAGAACCAGTTGTTAGTCTGAGTCAGAACCATTTCATAAACATAACTAATATTATAAACCACATTAGCATGGCTGAATAGAGCAGAGTGCAGTGTGTTTGCCTAATGAAAAGGCTGTGTCAGACTCCAAATGAGTCCGTTTACTAAAACATGCAAGCTCTTGGTTAATTCCTAATATTCTCCTAATCCTACTTTCATCAGCCCTACTTTGGTGCGCTTGCTATTAATTGCCTATTGTAGCAGGTATTTGAACACATCTCCTCTTTCATCTGAAGAAAATATTAGCATATCGCAGAGCTGTTGGGACAGATTGTATCTGAGGCACTTTTTCCTCCCTGCAGAAAAGCCTATCAATCATAACTGAATATAGTGATTAATAATGTCACAGCTTTTATTCGTGTGTCTGCGTGCAACTAAATGAAGAGTAGCACTTACATTTTGATCTAGAGAATCTCACACCACAAAATAATCAGTTGCCATTTTATGAAAAAATTATATAGAATACTTCTACCCTCTATACTTCTACCCTCAGGACCTATTTTTGGTTGCTGTACTATTAATTTACTAAAGCTTTTATGAGGAAAGTACAGCAAAGATTCTTTCAGAATTTGTAATTATTACAGACTGTTTATCTTTTTTTTTTTTTAAATAACATCTTCCTGATGTGGCAAATTAATAGTACAAACACAAGATTGTAGGGGTAAGTGTTTAAAGCAGCGCAGTGTGGGAGAACAGTCTGGAGCTCTCTGCCTTAGCTAGCCCGAGTGTGTGTCCGAGCACCAACGCTTCCTCTCCCAGTAACCCCAAGGGAGCGAATCTCTCTCGAGACTTCCTGCCTCTCTGAAATAGGGAAACAATATTGCAAGGTTTTCTAATGTTGTTGGTGTTCTGTGTGAGGATAAATGTAAAATGAACTCACCACAGTGCTGGGCCCATACAAGTGTCCAGAAAAATTAGGAGTTTGCATTTGAGGAACATGAGACAAATGAGTTCTCTCATGGAAAGTGAAACGATGGTGCAGGCGTCTGTGCTTTACTGCTACGGAGGGAAAGGATGAGGCCTCTGTGCTCATCAGGCCCACACTTGCCTCTCCTCTGGGGCGCCAGACTCTCCAGGGTCCACAGGGTGAAACATAACTTCTGATTGTCCTCCCCCACCCCAGGAAGCCATCCTCCCTATGTCTCCCCCAGGGCTAGTAACCGTTCCCACGCACTGTTCATTCAAGCAGAAACTGAGCACTGGCCTCACGCCTCTTTCCCTTACCAGAGCCGCTCTCATATCCATATCCAGCCCCGCAGCAAGTCCCCTCTGCTG